GACATGTACAACATGAAGAAAAAAACCACCCATTGGTAGCACTTCAATTATATCTATATTAAAAGGTCCCGAGGCCATCTTCTTTTCAGACGCCTCGGAGGGTTATCAGGAATAGAAGAGGAAGCAAGGTTGGAAACAAGAGGGTTCGGATGGTTCATAAGTTTGTTATGGAAGGGTAGGTATCTGGATTGAGCTAAATCGGAAACATATGGTACATTAAGGTCGTTATGTATGATTTTATTTGTGAGAAAGTAGTTAGCATTGAGGATTTTACGAAGGATTATGGATTGTAGGGACTGGATACGAGAGGAATTTGATGGTTTAGTAGAGCCCCAAAGCTCGATCCCTAAGTCCAAATAGGCCTTATTATAGTATCATATATGAATCTTTTGTAAATAGTGGGAAATTTAGAGCGTTTGTCTAGTAAGAGCTGCAGTAGTCGAAAACGTAAGGCGGTTTCTAGTCGTTTCAGTCTGGTATGGGAGTAAGAAAAATATAATTTACAAATTAAACTGTTGAAATTGCCTCAAAATTTATATTAGGGAAACATTCAAACATTTAAGGACGAGAATTTCACAGCACATTATCAATTGCAAAAATACAAAAAATATAAACGCCACAGCTTTAGCATAAAATTACATAACAAATTCAATTTCAATAAACCGCAAATATTAGGCATACAACCAAAAAACAACAATAGAAAATTACTCCACATTACTCCACATTCCAATTAAGTCATCCACATTACAAAAAAAAATAGAACAACAGTAAATTACAAAACGGGCACTAAACAAAAAATGCAGATATCTTAAATAAAATTAAAATATAATAAAACTATAATGCAGCAATGTAACAATCAGTCATGTAACAATAGTAAAAGATTAAGTAACTAGATAGAAATGCTAATAATATCCTCCATAGCAGGTCTCCAATTATTAGTCCTAGGAATGTTGATGATCCAGATAGCATATTTATATGAGCATATATATTTACAACACATAAATTTCAATTCATCACAAAGAAGCACATAGGCTTTGGGTATTTATAACATTTTATGTAACAACACAACTTTAGCATGTATTGTAACATGCATTCTTTTCTAATTATCTCTTTTCTAGCCATAAATCGATATGAAAGTAAAGAATTTAAGTTTTGATGAGAATAATTTTCTCGAAACATCAACTTGATGTGTAAATCAACAAATAAACCAATTGTTTGTATACTTGAATGTTTTCATTGCCGAAAATAAAGAATATTATAAATAAGCTAAAGCTTCTCATCAAAAAAAGAAGAAAATAAGTAATAAAAGAGCTTTCATAAGCAAAAGGCACAAACAGTGCCTCTTATATTTTTTATTTATTTGTATTGTGTTTATATCAATACTATGTGTTAATGTTGTTAATTTTTTTTTGTATAACGTTCAGGTTAGCAACTCTCGAAATAATTAGATTTTTGGGGGCCAATTTTCTACTCTTAAATTTTATATATTTCTTAAATAACCCTAGAGGAGCGAGCTCAAACAAAGTCCCTAAACTAAGTTGGATGTTAGCATGCAGCGCTGGATACATTATTTACATAATTAACCTAACAGTTTCCTTGTGCGCTCCTTGTGTAAATCTCTTTTTTATTCTCGTACTCTCGGGTGAATCTTAAACAAACCATGAGAGGCCGGAATAGTAATGAAGAACTTGAAACACTTATGGCTCGAGTGAAGAAATGGGTACTGTGGTTTTGGAGCGGTTTACTTAAGAAACGCTTTCATACTTCTCCCTTCGTCGGAATATTGGTTAGTCGTACAGGCCCCTTTTTATCAAATTATTAACATCCGGCTGAAACTTCGTAAATAGCTTCATCTCGTCCTAACCTAAAAATATTCTGTTTTCCAAATTTTCGGAATTGGAGCGTTTTCAATCTGGAGGCCGGCAAACTTTGTCTATTTAATCAGGTACTAAAAACTCGTAAACGCCCATTTTCTTTCCACTTTAATCGTAAGATAACTTGATCCCAAAGGAGAGAAAAAAGGTAGCCTTCAAAAATATTGAGCCCTTTGACGTGACCTACACCCCCAAATAGTCAAAATAACGAGGTTGTATAGGCCAAACGGCTCAATATTTTTGCAGGCCACCTTTTTTTTAATCTATTTTGTGATAAAATTATCTTACGATCCAAGTTGAAAGCAAATGTGTATTTACGAGCTATTAGTACCTAATCAAATAGACAAAGTTTCCCGACCTCCAGGTTGAAAACGCTCCAAATTCCGAGAATTTTCGTAAATATAATATTTACGATGAGATGAAGCTATTTACGAAGTTTCAGCCGGATGTTATTAATTTGATCAAAATGGGGTCTGTACCACGGACTAGGTCACTTGTGACATTAAACTAAAATATTATTTATATATTTCTATATCATAGTCCGTTCAAAGATAGTGATAGTGGTATTTTTAATCATGGCTTAAAATGAAGCATACTTTTATTTTTTTGTCAGCTTCGGTATGACATGACTGCATTATTTTCAATTTTTTTCTTTTCAAGTAAAGGTTTTAGAAGCTTATTTCTTTGTTGATCAATACTAAAATCTGTTCCAACTAAAGACATTAGGACATCAGTGAATATTGACAGAGTAGCTCATACACACTCTATATACAATAAATAAAGATGAATTAAATAGCAAAATAATAATACTAAAAGTAAATGTTTATAAAATAAAATAAAATAAACTAATCAAAATTATAACTTAATCACAATAACAAAAAAAAAATATTTAAAATCACTTTCGATTTCGTCAAATAGTCACTTTAAAAAATGACCTTCATTATTGACTACTCAAAACAGTAAACAAGTAATTCATTTTAGATCAATTGTAACTCTGATCTGAGCCCTATTACAGCCTATTTTTCATTTAATGTATTTTTGAGAACTTAATAAATAAAATTTAATCTTTAATCATAAGTCTAGAGCTTTATTACCAAAAAAAAGTTCCTTAGAACTTTTATTCCTAAAAAACACCACAGAAAGTGTTCAAAATAAAGTTTTTAAAATGTCTAATAATATCCTTACATATTTTCAAGTTATAAAACCTTTTTTTTTAATTGCTTTTTAAACCTTTTAATTTTTTTCTTGTAAAATTCGTTTAAATAATCATGAATACATCTTTTTTTTTTTTAAACTAATTACAATATATTCCAAGAATATAGGTTTTTTTTTCAAAGTTCTAAAAATTTCTTCTTCAATTTGAGCAAGGTATGTAAAGATGCAATTTATTATGCTGTTGAATTTAAAAAATCATTAAATGTTTATATCGTTTCAATGATTATTCCCTTTCATAACCTGTTCAAAAATGACAGTGTCAATTTTAATTAAAATCGCCACCTCTAATGATAAGAGACTAACAATTTTTTTTCTTTCAATTAGACTAGAAATACTTATTAAATGAAGAGAAGGGTGGTTAGGGTGATCAGTCAGAAATAAAATGGCAAAAATAAGTAATAATATTTATTTTAATATTTGCCGACGTTTCGACCTGAAGTTCAAGCCTTTATCAGGGCTGTTCGAAGAGATTGCTTGAATAGGAAAATTCAAGCAATTTGCTAGATTGCTATTCAAGCAATCTCTTCGAACAGCCCTGCACTTTAGGTCGAAACGTCGGCAAATATTAAAATAAATATTATTATTTTCTTTTGCCATTTTATTTCAGACTGATCACCCTAACCTCCCTTCTCTTCATAATTCACGACAGTCAACCATCAACCCACAATCACTTATTAAATGATTGAAGACTTTTATAAATTCTAAAAAATAAGTTAGATATATAATTTTTTGCCAGTTTTTGAAGCCAAACATTTATCTGATAAAAAGGTTTTATTCAACATGTGAAAAAACAAAACGAAAATATATTACAGTGAAAAGTCAGTTGAAATGTTATCATGAGGTCGTCGAAATACTTTTTTACTATGTTGTCTAAAAAGGGTTGTTTTCATTTGGGTTGATTGGTTCAAATTTAACCGTTAAATTGTTACTTCAAAGTTTGTTATTGGTTAATTTTTTTTTTTTTTTTAATAATAATACAATCAGCCACTTTTGGAGGGCTAAAAGTTCTCATTCATACAATATATACAAATAATAGAGAAACAAATATAAATATAAAAAATAAATAAATAATACTGATGAAGAAAGTAAATAAAAAGAAAAAAAAAGTAAGCAAATAACATAAAATAGAAACTTCTAAACACAATCATACCTATATACAATATATACATTCGCCCAGGAATCTCCGAGCCAGGCTTTTTCCCGCACAAGTGGAAGGCAAAGCAAGACTCCAGGAGATCCCGGTGCCACTTTTCCAGCCGCATCACTAGTATTAGAGTTATTGAGTAATAACATCAATAGGTAAATCATTGAACAATTCGAAAAATTATAAATAAAATGTGTTGATATTGTGAATATTCAAAAACGAGTAAAAGATACATATATGCGGTAATAAACCTTTAAGTTCTTCTGCGATCGAATAAAAAGTTCGTTTTTTTACATTTATAAAACAAAACATACTTTCATCTATTATCTAAAATAATTTAGAATAGCATTAACGTTTATAATTGGGTTACCAAACTCGCATCAAACTGACTGTAGGATATTTTAAATGTTTTTGTTTCTCTTTTATTATTGTATTTTTATTATAATTTAAAACTCATAGTTTATAATATATATAAATTTAAATAGATTTCTAGCTATTTTCTTTCTTTCTTTCTCATCACCCGCTTATCTATCCTCCCTCCCCCTCACCCTCGATGGTACTATAGTCCGTGAAGAACCCTCGTCTTCTCCTCCACTACCATTCTCCACTCTATCCTGTCTTTGGTTATCCTCCTCCAACTACCTACTCCAGGGATTCTCTGGTCGCTTCCATAGTTTCTTTCGTCGCGATCTTGACCTTTTTATGTTTCGTCCTATATGACCTACAATAATCATGTTATTGATTTTATTCTCCCTTATTCCGAGCAAATGAATCCACTAGTTTTGATCCTATTTCAACGAAAAATCATACTTCGTTTCTACTTGCTTACTTTTATATAATTTAAATTAATTACACTTTTGCACCAGTTGGCCTGGTTGATTTGCGGCGCGGGTGCCCTGGAGGTGGGGGTGCCGGAAAGGTTCCTGCCACCGAGGAACTACAACCCTCACCCTTACACGGACCCCAGAGCGGCCATCGTGCAGCTGCGGGCCATCGAAGACCTCCCAGAACACCCGTACGCTCTCTTCAGGAGGCCGCCATCGAGGAGGGACGAGGACACCGCCCCCATCCAGTTCCCCAAGGTGCCAGAGGCAGCCACTCCACAGCCGCCTCCCAGGCTCAAACCTGCCAATGTGAAGCACCCCCTCAACGTGAACAGGGGAAGGCAGTTCCCTCCTCTACTCAGTCTGGTAAGTCTCGTGCATTGTTTTTACTTTTTTTTTCTTATTAATTCAAAGTTTTATATCTACTTCTTCCCAATGGATAGATTATGAAAGAAAAAATTAAAAGAGGAACTGCAATTAGTAATGAGGTTACAAGTAAACATTAATGTCATTTTTTTTAATCGCTTCTTTTCTAGAAAGCGATAAGCCATATTTCATTATTCATACATTTCATGATTTCGAAACTCTCATTATTATATTTATTAAGTGGTATTTTAAGTGTCATTGAAACTTGATAGAATATAATAGTAGATCTGCAGACGGAGATTTCGGACTAAAACCCCCCTTCCAGAATAGAAAAAGAAATGTATAGATCGATTAAGAAGATGGTTTGGGGTTGCGCCCATTAAAAGACTAAATGTTAAAAACTATTTTATTTAAAGCCAACGTTTCGACCCGACTTTACACATGATCTTCTTTAGGGTTTTTTGGGTCCTCCCTTTCCACGCCTTTAAGCCTATACGGGTTTTTTCCGGGCCAGAGAGTGAGGGTGTGAATTTAAAAGACTCCCCAGGTACCGAGACGCGAACTCGTCACTATTTTTACTTAGTAATTTCATGTATCAGGTTGCCGGGCAACGGCGGTGCTGGGCACACACGTTAGCCCATTCAGCCACCCCGCCCACTTTCTTCAGGGCGTTTTATGCAGTATGGAGTTTCGTTTGAAACTCAATTCATTTTCAAACTCACTCAGTTTGAACTGAAACTTCATACTGCATACAACCCTCTGAAGAAGACCTGCAGAGTCGGGTCGTAACGTGGGCTTTAAATATAATATTTTTTTTTACTATTTTAGTCTTTTTATGACTGTCGTCCCGGACCATCTTCGGACTCAGTAACATTCCACGGTCGATCAATCCAAAAAAAAAAAATATTTTGTTTTCATTCTTCTGAGTTATCTTTTGTGTGTCTTGAAAGCTAAATACTTGGATTTTATAAAGCTCCTGCTTCTTCCTGGAAAAACCGTTATAGCCGAAAATGCGAAGAAGGAGTAAAAAAAAAGCCTTAAATACTTAAATTACAATATATTTTTTTAAAAAAAGTTATAATGCACAAACAGTTATTAACTGTAATTAGGTGTCAGAAAAAAAAATGAGAAATTTATCTCTGAAAGCAATAATATTTCTGTAATTACCTCTTTTTTCTTCATTTTTTGTGGCATTCAATGACAACTTAAATATCATTCAATATATATAGTTTTTATTCCATATCAATAACCGTAATTTAAAAAATGGAGGGAGGCGGGGTAGCTCAGTGAGTAAGCACTTACTTAATAAGCTCAAGTACTTCCTTACAAAATTTCTGAACCCAAAACCTTTTATGGTTTATGGTACAGGTAGAGAAAAAAAAATCTGGGTTGGTTAGAGCCACCTTATTGGAATTAAATTTTGATCTGTCTATAAAACACATTGTATTGTTTCAAATGTGTTGATGAAATATGTTTACAATGATTATATCGTTGTATAATTCTAACATTATTATAAATTACATTGCAAATTTTTTTTAATGTTCCCCAATGATCTCTGAACTCAGATTAGTAAAAATAAAAAATATCATTATATTGTACTTACATACGTACATTATACTTATACAATTGTATCATTTTTAATTTTTCATTATAGTTGTGAAAAACAACATTTTTATCCGGAAATATAAGTTCTGTGTTTTTAGGCCTTGTTTTATGAACTTATATCCTTAAAATTAAATGTAAAAAAAATTGTTTATATAAAAAATAATTGAAAATTATCAATAGGAAAATTTAACAAATTATTGTAGATTGAGTATGTTGGTTTTGAATGATAATTTAAAAATATTTTCTTTATAATAAGTGACATTCTTTACTTATTTTTTTATTAAAAAAAAGTTTAATTAAGTGTAAAAGAATTTATCCGAAAATTGAGGTAGCACAGCAGAAATATGATAAAAAAAAAAAAAAAAACAGAATAATCCATGGTGTTATGAAAAACATACAATAACAAATTCCACTTACTTTTGAAGACAATTTTGTCTTGTTTAGTATGCTGATAAGGGAAAGTACTTAAATCAAATACTTTTAATTATCGCTTCCTGTATAAAATCTTACTTGAAAAACACGAAACTTAATGTTTTTTTTTTGTTATTAACTTTCAGTTGCTCTTTAGTTACCTATCACCTAATTAAAGATTTCTTACCATTTGCTGAACACACTATACATGGTTATTTCGTAGTTCATTGATTAAATTTAGGTTAATTAAATCATCATAACGATGATAAGGAAATGTTTAACCTAAAACAATTAAGGGTTTACAACCACGAAATAACCAAACAACACCTGCAAAGTCCAACAAGCAACAAAGTCCGTGCCCTATAAACAGCTGCCTAAACTGCTCAGGACCCAAGTTGGTTCTGCATTTGCCCAACTGTCTTCTGCAAGACCTTCTTCAAACTTAGTTTCTGTTGAACAGTTAATCGAAAATTTCTCATAGTCCCACATCTACTGTCTTTTGCGAGTTCGTGTCCAGTTGGGCATGTCATGTCACCAACATTCCTCCTCAAGAAATCTCTATAATGGTATTTTGTAGATTTTTTTTATAAATTGTTATGATTATAACAGTTTATTCTGTAATACTAAATTTTTGATACCAATCAAATATTTCACACATGGCCAACACAACATTTCCAGCACTCAAGAGCTTAAGCAAAAACAAATGAAAATCTTTTTTTTTTTAATTGTGGAATTTTTTAATTTTAATTTTTTGTTGCAGGATTGAAATTTAATTTTACAAAAAAAAAAAAAAAGTTGTTCTCTTTTTGTATATTCCATTTATTTGTTACTTTTGTTCAACCCGTTTCGATCTTTTATCAGACCTTCATGAGGCCAACTGATGGTGGTCCTCCTCTCCAAATGAGAGGTCGCTTGTCAAATGAGGACTGTTAAATGTTTAACTTTTAGAGTCCTCATTTGACAAAAAATAAATGGAATATAAAAGAAGAGAACGTCATTTTTTTTGTAAAATTAATAAACAATCAATATTTATTAATAGCACTTGAAATGGAATTTTAAGTTGTATTCTTTAACAGCTTCGGTATGCTAGAATCTTTCCTTTTTTTAAAATATATAAATAGAACTTTTTCTTTTGCAACTTTAATAGTAAAGGTTGTGCAGTACTTTTATTAAAAAAAATATATATTTAAAACATCTGTCGATTTCGCCAAAAGACCTATCAAAAATAGGACTTTTGTTCTTCATTCATTCATGTGTGGCACGACATCCCGTTACCGAGACTGGGCCTCCTCCAAGAGCCTCCGCCAGTTGGCTCTGTCTCCTGCTGCAGCTCTCCAGTTCCGTACACCAAGCAGGGTTCTCGCATCATAGGCCACGTTGTCCAACCACCTCGTCCTCGGCCTTCCTACCCGTTTACTTTTGTTCTTAGCTACTCGAAAAAACTAGCCAGCCAGTTGGCTTTTCGAGTTTTTTTAATCGGTTTTAGTTTACATATTTTATTGTAGCTTATTTGTTTGTTTGTTTTTTACATCAAATTATTGAAGGTCGAAAATATATTCTCGCCCATTCATCTCTGCCCCCTCATCGAAGACTGCACCTATGATTATTTGCTATCTTAATTTAATTAGCTCCCAACATAGACAGTTCTTGAAAATTGATTTTTTAGATAATTTCACCTGACTGATCTTTTGTATTGGCTAATTCTACTTCAGTGCAAAACATACTGAAGTTTACTTCATTTTCTAGTCGGGTAGAAATGTTGGTTTTTAATAATAGTTTTACTATTTACTACTATTCAGCAAGTTTATTTTTTATATATTTCTTTTTTTTATCGTTCCTGACTCCTCCTCCAATCAAAATGAAAATTATGCGCCTAAGGACTCTGTTTAACTTTTATTTTATTTTTATTGTTGCTTAGTTGAGCTATTAGCATGTCTCCTACCGAATCTCGATAAAAAATTAAAATATAACTTTATTTTGATTTCAATCTCAACTTTCAGTCGACAACTATTAATCTACAAGACAATCCTGAAACCTATTTGGACCTAAGGAATAGAAATGTGGGGGACAGCAAAACTTTCTAACATTAAACGCATTCAATCGTTCCAGTCTAAAATCCTCCGAACAATAGTCGATGCTCCCTTCTATGTATCCAACAAAACCCTCCATAATGACCATCACATCCCATTTGTTATTGACCTAATCCCAGAAAATTTTTCCAAATTTCACCAGAAACTCAATCGTCATCCAAATCCTGTAGCACAATCCCTATCTAGCTCCAGCCATCCCTACAATCCTCCCCAGAGTTTAAAACGGCAGTGGCCCGTTTGTGACGTTTTGTAAATATGTATATATTGGAGTACTGGCAATGGCCAGATTCTCCACTCAAGACATGAGCGTCTGTTGCTATAGTGCCCACCATCAGTTTCCACTGGTTTCAAATAACAGGCTGAGAAAGAAGCACTGGGATCTCCTGGAGTCCTGCCTTGGCTTCCACGTCGGGGAATAAGGCATGACTCAGAGTCCCCTGGGTGAATGTAAATATTGTACATAGGTGTGAATGTGATTTATTTACTTTAATTTCATCTAGCTTTTATCTATTATTTCATTATTTTTTTTGTACACAGGCATACCAATTTACTTATTTTATTTTTTTTATATTTCTTTTTCTTTATTATTGATATTAATTGTATGTACATATTGTGTGAATGAATCATGTAGCCTTAATATTAATGCTCTTCAATGTGGCAGAATGTATTAATATTCAATAAAGAAAGTTAAAAAAAAAAAAAAAAATTATTTCACAAAAAGGAAGTATTACACTTAATTAATCTCGATAATCAAGATTAATAATTCAAACAGCTATTCGATTTTCTTATTACAATATTTAATATTTGGAGACGTAACAGTTACATTCACTACTCATCTCTATAATACCTCTGATCAATAAGACCTCCATATCTATTATCCTTATATTAATTTTTTCTCAGGAACAGAAACAAAAGAAGAAATATGCCTTCTCTTATGCTGTAAGAGATAGAAGTTCAGGCGACGATTTCTCTCATAGCCAGGCGAGAAGCGGCGCTCAAACGAAAGGAGAGTACAGGGTGAAACTGCCGGACGGAAGGACACAGATCGTGAGTTACACCGCCGATCATCAGGGCTATAGGGCCGATGTCAGGTATTGGGAACATTAGCCAATTTTTGAAATAGTGATAGCTTTAAGTATTTCAAAATGAAGAGCAATCAAAAGAAATTTGGTCAAGTCACTAGCGAATCCAGAATTTATTTTTTGGGGGGAGGAGATGCTTCGGCCCGAAAGATTTTTTTCATATGCATATAACGATAATTAATTTGTAAAAAAAAAGAAAGAAATTAACTACGTATATGAAATGGTGTTGAAGTGGTTCTTGAAGTCCTATTAAATGTAATTACACGAACAAGGGTACTTTAAGCGATAGTTTTTAATATTTTTTTCTGTAAAACATGGTTATATCTTAGCATTTGGTTAGATCCGCTAGTGGCGTAGTCTAACATAACTGGATTCACTGTCGGGAATGTCGGATCTATCTTTATTGTTGAAGAATAACTCAATAATAGCGGACGTTGGTATCTCTTGTGCAGATTCTCTATACGTAGTCCGAGGTAAAGATCTCTTTTTATCACATTATTAACATCCGCCTGAAACTTCGTAAATAGCTTCGGATGAATCTATCGGATCCATCCCATCGTAACCTATTATTATTTTATTTATGGAAATTCTCGGAATGGGAGCGTTTTCAATCTGGAGATCGAACAAAACGAGATTGACAAAATTTGTCAATTTAATAGGTACCAAAATTCGGAGATGCCCATTTAATTTCCACTTGAATCGTGAGATAATATGATCATAACAATAAAAAAAAAAGTGGCCTACAAAACTATTTCCATAATATGACCCAATTCCAAGAGTTTTCGTAAATAAAATACTTTACAATGAGATGAAGCGATTTACGAAGTTTCAGGCTAATGATTTAATAAAAATGGGTCTGTACCACGGAATAACATGTTTCATCTCATATAAACTCTGGAATGGCATTGTCATTTTGCACCTACGTTACTGTTACGGTGGATTATAGTTAGGACGGAGTCAGTATTTTATATTTTTATTGGCAACGTTTCAACCCAAACTTGTGGGTCACCATCAGGGCCGAAAAAATTATAACATATGTGATATAATATTATGTAGTATATAGCACTTAATAATGCTGTTTGAATAATAATAATAAACTAACGACTGATGCAAAATAATGTGATTACATGATGAGATAGACAAATTGAATACTTGATAAGCTATACAAACTACAAAATAACGCACACAATAAATTAAAAGAAATGTAATATTTAATATTACCAACTATGTTACCAGCACTGAAGGAGTTAGAGTACTAACACCTAAGTAGGTGAGTAAATGGGTCGGGGGAGGATTTTTCAGATGATAGCAAAGATAGGAAAACAGGATGTTCGAGTAAGATAATTGTTTATGGAATACAAACCATTGAATAAGTGTAATATCCAAGTTAACATGTATACAATGGTTATTTCTTATTGTTAAAATCGTAATTATTAACTAGTATTGTAATAACAATAAATAAGAGATCAGAGATGACAAGTCTTACATACATATAATAGAGTACAGTTGTACAATAGTTTGATTATCTGCTATCTTAAAAGCACGCCTGTAAAATCCTACCACTGAACCTTTCACCTACCTACCTGTAGTTGAACACATTTAATGCTGGTGATATTAAATATTTTATTTCTTTAAATTTATTATGTATATTATTTTATAGTTTATATAGCCTATTACTTATTCCATTTGTATATTTCATCATGTATTCACATAATTTTACATTATCATCAGTTTATTATTATTACTCATACATCATTACTGTTATCTGTTATATAATACAATATCTAATGTTATTAATTTTTCAGTTCTGGACATAATTCAAAAACTTGGCTTGGAACGTTGACAATACAAATCTAAAGAACTGACTATATATCCATTATATGTAGATCGTTTGACTAACTTTCTTTACTAATTGCTGATACACTATTTATGTATTGTATTTAAGACCCCAAACTTTTCTAAATTTTTTTACAAAAGAAAAAAAATTCAAATTCTTTATTTAATATTTAGTTATAGTTTAGAACCATAGAATTGGGAAAACAGACATAAAAAATCAATTAAAAGGAACTAATTTATATAAAACAAAAAAAAAATATTGAAAAAGTGTTCTAAAGAACACTACGTTGCCTAAAACTCCAGTAATATTTTTCAGGCGTTAAAACAGTCAAGGAACAATAATTTTCTAGAACTAGAGAGTATAAACAATAATGAGAAAAAACATATTTATGAACATCTTTATTTATGTCATTTTCCTGTGATATTAAACATTGGTACCATGTAAATATTAAATGACCATTATAGTTGCACAATTCTCCCTTATAGATTAAAGCAAGTTAATTTTATTTTTCACTATTTCTCATTCACTGAACGCACATTTTTCTCTTAAATTTTAGAATTAATTTCGCGAAAAAAAGTTTGTTTTTTTTCATTAGTTTTTCCAATATATTAATTATAGTTGAATACAAAAGCAACTTCCAAGGATCACAAATATTCTCTTCGAGGAACAAGTCGAACGCAAGTGATTTGCTTCAATTTTACTTAGCCTCTTTTTTTTTATAATATTTTTTTTCAAGAAAGTCTTTTTTTCCACGTATATCGGTTTCTGTGTTATGTTTACAGTTCTTTTTCATTTATCGACTTCGATCACATCCGATTGTTCAGACCAATTTCTGTTGGTCAAATGCGAGACCACTCAGTCTTAGTCTTGGTCTTACGAATCACTCCTGCTGTAACCTATTACTATAGAGATATTACTGTAATGTTTCAGATAGGGGAAACCTAACTAAGCCCTAATGAAAAATTGGAAGAGTCAAATGCAAAAGTATATTGGTTGTACCAATTATTTACATGTAGTAACTTAAAATTTCAAGTATTAGAAATTTTTTTGCCTTCATTTTTATTTAAAAAAAAAACGATTTTTTTTACCAGTCTTGCAACAGTCTGGCGTTGTTGGTATTTGTCTTGCAATGCGGACTTGTTCCGCTTACTCCAACACTACAAAAATTTTCGGGTCATCTCAACATCTTTGAATTGATTGAAAGAAAAATCACATAAAAGACAAACGATAACCGCACTTCTACAGTGAACGAAAGTCCAAGTAACTATTTTACCCTTTTACTTCCATATTTAAACCACATCTAACCTCAACAATAATTCTAAAGGATAAAGGACATATGCATCTATTTAAAGTGAAGGGGAGACTGAGATAGTTCAATATTATATGAAATGTAAAATGTATCCATTTTTACATTCACTAAATTAGAGGTCGTGCATATCCTATTTGAACCACAGTCGTCATAGTCATTGTTTAAAATAACACACGTAAACCTAACTAATATGTAGGTACATATTATTATTTTTTTAAAGTAGAAAAAATAATAATAATAATAAATTGCGTTTACAATTAGTATATTTTCTATGTAAAGTAATAAAAAATAAATTATTTTGAGAAATATAAAAAAAATATTAAGATAAATAATAGTCGGTGGTATAAAACCTTTTTATTAAATTATTAACATCTGCTTTAAATATCGGAATGGCTTCATTATAGTGTAACCAAAAAAAAATTATTTACGAAACTTCCTAGAAATATCGCGTTTTCTCATTAAATTATTTAATTTAATAAGGTACTAAAAACTCATAAATACTCATTTACTTTCAACATGAATCTTAAGATAATTCGATCACAAAATCGAAAAAAATGTTGTGCTAAACGTCGTTATTTGTAGGCCACCTTTTTTTTCGATTTTGAGATCAAATTGTCTTATGATTCAAGTGAAAATCAAATGGGTGTTCATGAGTTTTTAGTACCTAATTAAATGGACCGATAAAAAAGTTTGCCGATCTCCAGATTAAAAACGCCCAAATTCCGAGAATTTTCACAACAAAAAAAAGTTATAGGCTATGATGAGATGGAGCTATTATCAAAGTTTTAGGCGGATTTTAACAATTTCTATAAAAAAGGAGTGTGTACCACAGACTATTAATATAAAAAAAATATTCATACCACCCTCTAAACAATTTTGAAACATAATAAGAATATACAGAGCGTAGCCATATTCATAACAACCAATATTAATGTATGTTAAATTATCTTAAATATCTTCCGGACACCATACCGTTATTACGGTTATTTCAAATTTTGAAAATAAACTTTTAGCAAACAAACATATTGTATTTAAAAAAAATAAAATAAAATAAGAGGTGTTCAAAATATATGTCATTTAGAAACACCTCCACATTTGAGAAAATTGTCATAATAAACACAGAGAAAATATATCAAAATAAAATTACAAATCACTGGATCGTAATAAAATCAATTGCTACCAAAAGACTGACAGCTGTTCGTAAAATATTTTACGATCGAGTTTTTCCATCCACCGATACGATAAAACTATTCCGAGATAGAATAAAATTAGTTCAATATTCATTTAGAGAATTTGTTATGAATTGTTGATATGGCGGAAGATAAAATTTTGATGAATCAATTTATGATAATATTAACACAGCAGTCCAATATTAGATATCAAATTACCTTTGATTAAATATTTTTAACTTATATACATTATATAGTTAGGATCACAATGTATTATTTACCGCCGGGAATTGATATCCAATGTTAATTTAGGTCATGCATTTAATTGGTATTGCTAATGAAAAATCTTTAGGGTAATATGATGTGCATAATATTCGTTTCAATTAACGTAAAAATAACGATATGATAATAGGATAGATTTTAACCCAAATATTGCATATACATATATATATATATATATATATATTATATATATATATATATATATATATATATATATATATATATATATATATATATATATATATATATATATATATATATATATATATATATATAAAGTGATATATTAAGAGATTGATAATAAATGAACGCGGTTTGGAACATTTTCTTAATATATAATATAAAATAGTTTTTCAACATTTTTCTTTTCAGTTGAACCACATCTAAATCATTTTAGAATTTTTTGAAGTATGGTTCTCTAATGCTAGATGTGGCTCAGTTAATATTTAATAATTTAAATTTATTATGGGGACTGAAATTATCAATTTTACTAAAGATTATTATTATTACGATACGTTTTCCCCACCCTTAACACTGCCTGAATTTTTTTCTTGTACATCTTTTTTATCTCACAAACCTGAAATAAAATAGTTTTTAAACAATTCCAGAACGACAATTGGATGCGTTATTTTTTTTTTTAAATGCTTTAAAATAATTGTTTAATAATTTCCATTCATTTTTAAAAATTTAGTTTTCAAAGGAAATTAGTCATTTAGTTTCAGTGGAAATAATTCAAGTTTTCAGAAATTATAATTCATTTTTTTTTGGGTCAACATCCTTTATTTTCTACGATTTTCTATTTTATACATCAATCTTCACTTTTTCAACGATAAATTGAGGCGTTGACATAGAAGAGGTAGCAAGTATAAAAAAAACAAAAACATTTTTTTCATTGAAAAGATAATAATTAGTCATGCCAATGTAATAGAAGGAGGAATAATTCAAAGTAAGGGAGTGGTTTGTTTCTATGAAGAGCTTCTTTATTTATTTATTGAGTAATATTCTATTCAGTCACTTGGACAACTAAATAATAATCAAAAAGTTTAAAGCTAAAAAAAAAAGTGTCAAAGCGGTTTTTTGCTTCTCCTTTAAAATAACATTTTCATGACTTTCTACCTTTTCCTTGTCAATGCCTCAATTATACATCTACATCACTGCCCATACTCCTGGAAAGCTCGCAAGAAAAAATATTTCTACTTAATACAATACCTACCATATCATGTGTGATTAAAATAAAACAAAAGTATAAAACTGCCTAGATCTTTTAGGTTATTTAACTCCAACAGCTATTATAAAATATGATAATTGCAATGAAATGTTACAGCAGTTTAGGTTTAAAAAAAACTACAATTAAGTAACTGATTGTACGTGAACCACAGAGGTATCGTTTTTAAATTTGAATACATGATTATAACTGAAAAAATTCTTTCTTCAACCATGCACTTGACGACCAGTGACTTACTTGTAAAATTAGCTACACGATATATATTGTATATATACACTGATATACAAATTTCAATAATGTTGAATCGAAATTGCCAGTTCCTTGGTTCCATGTTAATTATAATGGTTATAATTAATGCGAATCTATTAAAGCAATCTCTTCGTTTAAATGATTATTATTAAGTTTAAATCGTTTCAATGATTTTTTCTCCTTTCATAACCTCTTCAATAATGGCAGTGTCAATTTTAATTAAAATCGCCACCTCTAATGATAAGCAAATAACAATTTTTTTTCTTTCAATTAGACTAGAACTACTTATTAAATGAAGAGAAGGATGGTTTGGGTTATCAGTCAGAAATAAAATGGCAAAAATAAATAATAATATTTATTTTAATATTTGCCGACGTTTCGACCTAAAGTACAGGTCTCCATCAGGGCTTTTCGAAGAGATTGCTTGAATAGGAAGATTCAAGCAATTTGCTGGATTGCTATTCAAGGAATCTCTTTGAACAGCCCCGATGAAGGCCTGAACATCGAGTCGAGATGTCGGCAAATGTTAAAATAAATATTATTATTTATTTTTGCCGTTTTATTTCTGACTGATTACTCTAAGCATTATTCACTACAATCAACCATTAACCCACAATTATAACGCTTCAGGCGATAACTTCGCGTCATTACTTTATACAAGACTTGCCTCAATGACTTGGATCGAAAATCAAAGCATTTTTCCAGTTCATGGAAAATCAAAAGAATTTTCCACTTCTTTTTTCTCTTCTGCTATTGAGGCTTTCAACATATTATTTTATACATCGTAAGATTTTCCATTAAATTTATTTTCTATAATTAAAATTCATTGTTTATTCAGGTATGACGAAGAAAACTTCGTAGAACCTCCATCCACTCCTGTCTTCAAACAGTCCTTGTACAAACCTATCTACAAGCCCGCTCAAACTATCAGGCCAGCTTACAAGGCGGTCTACCTCGACTACGATGACTTGTTCCCTAAACCGCAGAGGGAATACACCCCGATCCACGAGGAGGACTACGGAGATGTGGATGCCAACACCGTCTCAACCACGCCGAGGTACTCCAACGAGGCTAAGGCGTTCACAGCAACAGCAACGGCAAAGTACATCCCCAGCGGCACCCCGAGGTACGTCGAGACGTTCGTGGCCAACGCGGTAGGGAGCACGCCTTCTTCGATAAACACTCAGCAATTCTACATCACCACACCTTCTCCTTCCAAGTACTTCGTAGATGCGGATGGGCAGCTCTTCAGGCAGTAGGAACCTAGATACCTCTCTATCATATAACTTAATAACTATGGCTCGTAATGCTATATGATTCCAGTTACCAATTATTGGTCTAGTCTGACAACTAGCCATAATAAGGACAAGTTTGCTTCTGGATTTTTTTTTCCAAACAGATCAGAAAAATTTAGAAACCCCACAAGCAAACGTCTAAAAAACAATTCTTCGAAGAAAATGTCATAACATAGTAAAATGTTTAAAATGAAATATTATTATGAAAATAATTCTGTATAATGTTCAAATAGTAAGATGCGTTTTTTTTTTCGTAATTATTTCAGGGTAATAATTAATAATAGAACGTAAGATATTCGTTCAAGCAAGAATAATTCATTACATGAATGGTCACAAAACCGGAGATCATTAAGTAAAACACAAAAACTAAAAGGATAAACCTAAAATTCATGTAAATACTAGTATAGCTGCAATTATGTTTATTCTTCATTTAATTTATATGAAACAAGTAATTCTATCGGTCATATGGCGTATTAGTAATAATTTTTCTTCTATTCCTTATTTTTATATTATTGGAATTCCGTAATCCATCAGAGAATATAGCCTTAAAAGAATAAAAATAGACAGTAACAAGTAAAGAAAAAGATACGGAATCTAACCTCATACTGCACTTTCGTCAATATAAAAGTAACCCTACCAAAATCATATTAAAAAATAGCTTATATTTTCATATTTCGATCTGCCCTGGTACAGATTATTTTAACTTAAAAAAATGTTAACAGTGTTCTATATCCTCAAGTTACGGATAAAGCTGAGCTAAATAAAAGCCATGATATACATAAAATAAATCTTAAAATATTTAAAAAAAAAACTTATTTAGTTACCTGAGTATGGTATAATACTTTTCAAACGTTCCCTTGAAAATATATATTCATAGATTAGATTAATTTCGTTAATGGTGTAGATAATAATCGCGAGCTACCTGAGAAAATATTTAAAACGTCGTATTCCTTAAAAAAATAAAATTTATTATTTTTTTCGGCGCTTTTCACCAACAATTGTATTAATTTATTCATGTTTCAATGAATTTAATATGATAAAAAAAACATCAATTTTTTTATGTTAAATATAATTTTCACTAATAACTAAATTATGTTGTAATAGAATAGATTTCGCTACCACGATCCAATTTGTAAGTCTGGTTTTTCAACTATTCACTATTGTAGATAACCTTATATTTATATTTTTTTAATGTATATTTATATCATGTTATATGTTTTACCTAGTGTCAAAATATTGTGATATAATAAGAACACTCTTTACATATTGAAATAATTATCCTAATAGCTTAAGTTATTTGTATCGAAATTATAATACTAATTAAAAATAATAATGGGGTACAACAAAAAAGTTGTATTGATACTTAATGCTCATGTTTTTATATTACTTTTATTCTTTTCTTTTTTTTTAATAGCATTTTCGATACAAATAATTAAGAAATAAAAAATATTATTTGAATATGTAGGTAACACATTGCCTAGAAGATTTGTTTCTAAAAAATTAAATTAGTTTACTTTTTTATATGATTGTATACATATAAATAAATAAACATTATAGGCAAACAATATATATAGTTTCATTTACATCCATTGGTTATTCAGAGATTTTTCACTCATATGAATAAAATATTTAAAACAGAAAAAAATGAGGAGAAATAAAATATGTAATATATGTAATGCATTTCAGAGTTAGCATTATTAAATCATAACACACACACATATATATCTATTATAATTTCTTTAAACGAAAGTAGAATTTGTCATTGTTAAAACTACTTAAAGAGGTCTATTGAGCGAACAAACACAACTAAGTTCCGTTGAAAAAAAAGTCATTAATTATTTGTGATCTTTTTTATCACCCCTCAACTGTATTATAGTTACCTAACTTTTTTTTTTTTTTTTAATCAAGTTGAGGTTCATTAGGATTTTTTTTTAGATTTACCTCGAGTTGGGTAAAGAAATTATGGAAATTATGTCGTGTCACCTAAAGGTACCCGTGTTTTTTTTTAAAGTACCGACAAAATGGCTACAATTAACTGTTATAAAAATTTTACTTATTGTTTTTCCGTGTTATGGGATGTATTGTAATACACTTAATTGTCTAATACATTCTATTATTAAAAATAAATAATTTAAAAATAATGATTTTTCATATAAGGAGGTTATGAAATTGTGTTTTTCTCTCAGGTTTCTGTCATAGGAATTAAAGCGTATTTTATAAGTGACAGACTTAATGTTTACTACTAAAATTTAAGTTTAAAATAAAGAAACCTGTTGATTGCTTCAATTATTTTCATTAAAACGTAAATATTATGACTAGAAACATTGAATCTGTCACTTGTAGATACGCATAAATTACTACGACAGATATTTGAGAAAAAAACACAATTTTTTTGCCACCTCATATTAAAAACTCATCATTTTTAATAATAGAATGTGTTTTTAGACAATAATGTTTATTACAATACATAAGCACTGGAATGTTTATTATAACACTGGAAAACAATAAATAAAATCTCAAATTTTTTCCTTATAAAAATCAACCTAATTAATATGGGCATAAAGCTTCTTAAATGTGGAAGTTTATCTAAATGTGAGATAATTGTAGCAGTTGAATAGTAATAAAAAAAAATCATAAATTATTTATGAATTTTTTTAAACGGAACTCTTTGTTTGTCCGCTAAATAGTCCCCTTTAAATTGTTTTAACAATCACAATCTCAACTTCCTTCTCAAGTAAATTTTCTCTTGTTTTCTTTGGAGCGATGTTTAATTACTTAAATCCAATGTTTTTTATGACATTCCTTCTTATTCAGCAATAAACGTGACTCACTTAAAAAAAAAAAAAAAAAAAAAAAAAAAACACAAATCTTAAATTTCCTACTCCTTCTCTACGGGAAATAGGGCATTTGTTCATATGAACTTTTTTTTGTAGATCTTGATGATAGATGTATATTTACTATCAATCTTTAAAATATTTCTCTGTACTTACGGGAGATGACAGGTAAAGAGTTGGATCTAAATAGTATTTATTAATCTCATTAACAAATGTGAAAATAGTTAAAACGTAAATAACAAATTAATTAATAAAATGTAAACAAATAAGAGTTTGGTTAAAAAGAAAATTGAATATTTTTTTATCATTACAGCTTTCACCGTTGTTTTTTTTTTATCAGCATTGTTGTTTTTATTTGTGTATTCAATTTTTTTAAAATTTTATTTACGATCTAGTGAAAACCGAATTCCTAAGCGAAATTTTCCTTTAATTTGGCTTTAGGTTGAATCCGAATACATTATTTTGTTTGGTGTTTTATAACATATTTTTAGGGATGACGACTAATTCTATAGATTTTAGAACGATATAGAGTCTCAAAACTGGTTTATTGCAAACGTTTCAAATGATGTCATAAATCAAGTAATACAAATTATCAATTCTTAAAACTTAAATACAAAAGGCGCATTCTGACGATTCCTTCAAACGGAACAATGGAGTGGCATGGAGCTACTGGAATGCTTAGAGTAAAGACGATTTCACGGGCCCTACAGACATATTGTTCACAATAACCTTACATTTCTTACCGATAGGTATAGATTTATCATCCACCACTAGAATACAGGTTCACATATTTTAATTCTTAAACAGATCGTGAAGTTGGAAGATCTCTCTGATTCAAAACGTTCTCGAATATTGAAGAAAAGTTCTCTATTCAACACATATTCATAAAGGAAAAGATATTCAAAGCCCTTTAATGTAAGCAGTAAATTGTTGATCACTGAGCTGTGCTTCATAATTCCGAAAATTTGCCAAGAGTCCCAAAAATCCCACCTTATGGTATTGAAATAGAATTACAAAACAATTTTTTTATGAAATTTTAGATACATATAAAGGATATACAGTGGTTTTTATTGATGAGCCCGAATGTAACAATAGTATTGAAACAGCAGTAGTAGCCAACTTCAGAGCCTAAACTGATCTTCCCTCTGAAAAGGGTTCATTTATCACGAAACTAATTATGAAATACAAAGGGCTTGTAATAAATTAAATAAAAATATCAAGCTGTTTACTGACTCTTTGAGTTCATTACTCTTAAAATATATGTATACACTACGCATTCTATAATAAATTGTAGATTATTCTGATCTTAAGGCAAAGTTAAAAATATCCGCATGGTTTTATCTGTCAGTACTTGTTTATTATTTATTTGTCTTTACATATCGTGCAGTAGTAAATCTGATAAAACGGCAAAAGCTGCCTCATTGATCCTACTATCTGACTGTTTTGACAACCTTCAAAATGATATACTCCCACTCATAATATCCAAGACAATGGACGAATGACAACTAAACTGAATCAACAGGACAGAAAACAGACTAAGAGTGATCAAGACCCGTGGAAATCATCAATGAAAAATAGTATCAATGGAAATTATAAATAAACTTAAAAAATATGTATATGACGAGAAGTTATACTGATGGGTTTCCGAATGGTGTACATGACATCAATATTTGCAGACTGAAATACCTAGACCAACCAATCTTTTGACAGTGTGACGTACCCATGACTGTCAAACATTAACTGACTTTATTTGTTCACAAATTTTAATTTGTAACAATAAGCTATAACTTTAAATTGATATTGCTATAGGCCTAGATTTCGGAGGAGCGAGGGGAACGATCACCCACTCCCCCCCCTCAGTAAAAATGTTGAATGTTGAGAGGTCGAGAATATAAGAATATAGTTTCCACCACCCCGATATATGATGAAAAAACATTTTTCTTTTGCTTATTGAAAATATTACAATCAGTCTCAAAGGACATTTATAATACTATTCAAAGATCACATTCACTCTCTATGTAGAATAATAATAATAATATTATATATATATATATATATATAAGATAAAGACCGGAAACTGGCGATATCAGCCTTAATACCATCTGGCAATGTAAACAAACATGCTAACTGTATATAAGGAGACTTATGGAACGAATAAAGCAGTGTTTATTCAGAAGCCGTGTGTGTTGCATCTCTATCCCTTTCCTTCTTTTTTTTATTTTTCAAGTCCGACGACGCTTAACTGGTGCCGAAACCCGGGAAAACGTCAGGGAAGTAATTTTTTTTTCCTAAGTATATTTTTTTTTTGTGTTGGTGTTTAGCCATAAGGAAAAGGAGAGATGCCAACCGAGGGCTTAATTAGACCGGGAGTATTAAACGCACCGGAAATTCCTCAACCTCAGAAAATTCCTCAGATCAACCAGGTACCCCAGATCACGCCTCAGGTACCTCAGATACCTCAAATCCCTCAGGTAGCACAGATCCCTCAGATCCAGGAGATTCCTCCCTTACCAAGGGACACGTTGGCAGAAGCGCACGCCAACGCCTTGGAATGGATGAAAATAAGGGCAACAACTACGCAGGACTTACGGAGGGCCATTGCGGACCTGGAACGCTTCGGAGGCGAGGTAGGTGAGCTCAACGATTTTTTGAAAGGCGGAGATCGCCTCATGTCAAGAATCGAGGTAAAGGTGGCGGAGGACCTGGTGAACCTAGGGGACGCAGAAGCACTAAAAGCGGCTCTTGTGTGCCGAGTAAGGAGGAACGTCCTGAATCAGATTCAAGCGGACGAGGAGACTCCATGGCCGGTGATTAAGGAGCGACTGAAGAAAGCTTTCGAAGGAGGTAGGTGGACGCCGGAAGAGGACATCTTCCAAATGTTTAGGGAGCGGCGGTCCCAACGACAGACGAGGGGACAGTACGCGGCGGTACTCGTTGCAAAGTACAACCGCATAACCAAGAAGATGCGGGAAACGATGAGCGTGGGAGAGGTTGAAGCTAGGATGGAGTTCCTTTCGACAATACTGAAGGTCCAGCTGGCTAAGGAAACGGAAAGGAGGGACGGACTGCCCAGAGAGCGATCGTTCCTCGATTGTGCCCAGGAGATGATCGACCTAAGCGCAAGAGAGGAAGAGACGCGGATGGACGTGGAGGAACCGGGATGGATCCGAGTGACGGATAGACGACCACGGACAGCCCCGACACGTTGGAGGAAGAGGAACACAAGGCAGCAGAGTGGAGAAAAAGCCATCATGGGCGAAAGAAGATCCGGACAGTCGTCGAGGCCGAGGAATTGTCCCCGGAGGGAAGAGAGAAAATGTCACGGGTGTGGGAAGCCGGGACATTTAATAGCGCAGTATCCGCGCACCAGATGCTTCGAGTGCGGGACCGAAGGGCACATAGCAAGACAGTGCCCATACATATTTCGCAGGAGGGAGAGACCTCAGGACGAACCAATGGAGGTGAATGTGCAGAAAATGAAAAGGCGAGCTAGGGTACAGCAGAGGGACGGATCTTCGGAGGAGGCAACCGAGGAGTCAGGAACTTCAGGAACGGAGACGGATGAACCAGGCAGCAGCGGAGGTGAAGGAGGTGGGCGCAGCCAACGGAGTGAGCAGCGACGAGCGGCGGCAGTAAGGAGGAA